AAATTATCAAGGGCTCAAGAGGGAGGGATAAGCAGGGAGGGAGGGCAAAAAATGAGCTGATGTCAGTGGCTTATGTGGAGAGCAAATGTTTTGAGAATGATGAGGGCAATGAATGTACAAATGTGCTTTGCACAATTGATGTTTGTATGGATTGTGATAAGAGTTGTATGAGCCCCTAATCAAATGATTAAAAAAAATAAAGAAAAAAAGAAGTCTTTCTTGCCACTAAGTCAGTGTCGGCACAGAGCAGCTGTGTAGTTCAGCAGCGAGCTGTTGCTTGTCACCGCTGCTTCAGTCACCATTTTGAAGGAGGTTTATGTTGAGTTCCAGGATGAGGACAGTAGAGAAAAGGGGCCATTTTTCAAAATCTTTGTCCTCTGAAGTTCTGTGAAAACCTCCCACACCAAGCCTTCCGACCTTTCCAGGTGTTGTGCTTACAATGAATCAGCAACTGATGAATCCCAACGCTAAGAAGCAAACAGACGCTTGGTGGTTTGTCCTGATGGAGAAAGTCACCCCCAAAGAAATGCCTAAGAAGTATTTCAAGAGTATTCCCAGACCATTGAAGAGAGACCTGAGGAAAATGAGAGGGATCATGCTGCCCCTTTCGGCACTAGAAGTAGCTTGACAATGGCTAGAGAAAACCAAGAAGGCCAAGCTGATGTCAAAGCTCTTTCCGGCTTGAAAGGGGTCAAAATAGTACATTACAAATGAACCTGAACATTAGCAGAGGAAATAAATAAGGCAAAGGAGCTGCACCCTAGTGTCTTTGTTTACAGAGCAAAGAAATGCCTTTGTGTAAGGTCCCTAAGTTCTCGTGGGGCAGCATTCCAGGGCTGAGCCTCCGTGGCAGCCACCCTCGGGAGGGAGGATGGCTTCGGTGGCACAGATGCAGAGATGACCAGCACGAACCACGCCTGAGGTCAAGGCTGAGGAAAGGCCTTTCTTCAACTGGAACAAAACAAAAAACTCACTGCCGTTGAGTCCGAGTCAGTACTGACTCACTGAAAGGCCTTAGGACAGGGTAGCACTGCCAGCTGACCCTGTGAGTGTCTGAGCCTAGAACTGTTTATGGGAGTAGAAAGCCCGGTCTTTCTCCTGAGGAGCTGCTGGTGGTTTTGAACTGCCAGCCTTGCAGATTACAGCCCAATGCATCGCCACTACTCCACTAGGGCTCCTTCTTCAACTCTAAAAATGGTTAAAACCCATTGGCTAATGTTTGAGAAGGAACCCCAGGGAAGTGGGCGTTCCAGGTTGGCTTGCAGTCAGCAAGGTCAGCAGTTGGAAACCACCAGCTGCTCCATGGAAGAAAGGTAGGGGTCTCTCCGTCTATAAACAGTCACAGGTGCAGAAACTCATGGGCGGTTCTCCCCTCTCTGGTAGGGCCACCACGCGTCAGCATGGACTCCATGGTGGAGAGCTGAACGCGAACTTGGGACTTTATGGTTTTAAGGAAGTAAGCACTTTGGAAGTGACTGCTTGTCCAGACGCTCGAGAGAATTTTCCCTTTTGCCCCGCAGCCACAGTGAAAGTGAGACTGGTTTTGCTTTGTGATTTCCCTGTCTGCATTTATGAGGCCTGTTTGTTCTTTATCCAGGCTTTGCCAGAGTATCTACAGAGCCTTTCCTGACTGTCTCGTTGGTCATGTATGTCATCTCCACCACTTGTTTTTTTTTTTTAGAATTCCATTTCAGACCTTTGTTTTTATTTATTTTTTTAAATCATTTTATTAGTGGCTCATACAACTCCTATCACAAGCCATACATACATCAATTGTGTAAACCACATTTGTACATTCATTGTCCTCATTATTCTCTCCACCACTTGTTCTAAGATTATTCTAAGCGAGCAGGAAATAAACAGACTGTCCAGTTCT